CTTTCTTTCCCAGCGTTCGAAAATAAACAATTTATTCTTGATTATTATTAAAGCGAAATATTTTTCTTCTATATTTAATCCTCTAATGACCAAATTTGTTGAGTCAAAATGGCCGGATATTAGCCTTAACTTGTTAAAATTTGCGCTTTCATGGACATTGACTTCTTCTCACCCAATATCCAGCCATCTTGACCTCACGTTTGGTCGATAACGCATTTCTATTGTGCTGAAAGGATTACTTATAACGTTCTGGAACTTTAAAAGTAAAGTAGAGGCGTTGTAAGCTTTCTTGATTGACACAATTAAAAGAAACTTTATCGGATGCTAAAGAAAGAAGCTAAGCGAAACCTCGTTGTCGTTTCTGAGAATAAGACACACTTACATCAATTATAGCCGAATTAGTTATCCTTATCATTTTGAAGTGAGAGGAAAAATACATATGTCAACTTCGTGTTGGATAGTTTGAAGGGAAGCAATATATAGACCATCTTTTCTTACTTTTTTTTATCCAAGCTTCTAGTGTCAAAGGTTTCCTTTTAAATCTCGGGGTATAAATGAGTCTGTTTTCGCCAAAATATATATATATATATATATATATATATATATATATATATATACACAAGGACGTTTAGAATAAGCTGGCAATTAAAACTGAGCGGACTGACTCGTATGTAAAAAAGACTGTCTAAATCCCAGAAATGAACTGATGGAACCATATTTACGTAAGTGAAAAGAAAATTGCTTGAATTTACCTTGTGATGTCGCAATCACGATTATCATGGAGTATGACAGAAACACACAGATACAAACGGAACGCATGGCACAAAAGTTTTTCATGACTCATTTAAATTATGCAACTTTACAAGTAAATGAATTATAGTGATGTTTTGTTTATCATCGATACTCAATTTCTTATCAGCCAATAAAAGACATTACACCTGTCTACAACTTTCATTATTGTCTTAATATATATCTATATTTCTCTCTTTTTTTTTATTCGCTTTGCTCGTTTCTCGTTTTCTATTCCTTTTCTCCTCTCTTTTCTTTACTTTTCTCTTCTCAGACCATGTTCTGGAGATAACATTTTGATTCTTAGACAATTTCGGGGATATGTATAGATATATATATATATATATCTTCAACAAATGATGTCGTGTACGTGCTTTATAAGTGCAACCATAACACGCCGTTTCAAGTTAGCATATATAATATTTGAGTCTTCGTGCTAATTCTACCGATAACTGTTTAATTTTTTTTTCTGTTTTTTTACGAATGTTTTCTACGATTCTCCGTCTTCAGTCCTTAGCTGTACTTGCGGAATGATGCAATAGATAATAATAAACTTTTTCAAATAAAGTTCTCGCTATAATCAAAGCGATTGTGTTATCCACGCGAAATGCTCGTAAACTGTCTGTACCAACATTCGCAGAAAAAAGTTAGAATTTTTCCTGAAGGGAATTTACGATAAAAACATCACTTATAAAAACATTTTGAATAGATTGGAATAAGATACAGCTGCAAGGAAATAACAAGCAAACAGTAGGATTTGCATAATGAGAGAATTCAAAGTGACGCATCTAGCCTTAGCAACCGTCTGCTTCCTCACATAGGACACAAGTCCCAATATACATAATGTTGAAAAATGATTAAAAAAAAGTCACCCCCTTCCATTTTAGCGTTTTCCTTCGTTGGAAAAACCACAAACATTGTTACATTGCTATCAACCCCTTAAGAACATTCTACTGACAACAATCATTCACTTGACTCTGATGATGACTTCCGCACAGGTTGTCCAAACGTCAGTCACTACCACCGACAACAGTCCTTCTCAGGACTACACTCACCCTGACGATCAGACTACACCTTCACAACCCCTTAAGAGTTAGTATCTTCGTCTTCGATGTAAATATTTTTCATGTTGTTGCTGTTGCCGACTTTTTTTTCTAGATCTAGCAAAGAAGTGATTAGTTTTCTTCCTTTGCATAATATCAATTAATTTCAGTTCTCATAAGACATTGATGTCAGTGTCATAGTTGTCGGGTACCTTGAGAGCTCTTTTAAGGTTGTCATATGTTACCTATCGGATACCTCTAAGAATTTTGCACAAAATATTAACAGCAAGTATTAAAAACTTATTTGTCAGATGTCATAAAGTTTCATCGAGAATCAACATCAATTCAGGTTACCCATCTTCTTTTATAAAAGTTCAGAAGATATCTTCTTGGCTTCTGAGCCAACAAGTCAGTTTGTCTCTTACTTGGAAAACGCCATGAAGCCTCAGAAATTGATGAGTTCATTAAACATTTATTTCAAGCACCATTATTTGCCAGCTGGGGTGGAGGGCAGGGGTGGGAAAAACTGGACGGAAACAATGAAGTAAGTGCCTGGCGGAGACATGCCTTTGGAGTCCACAAATCCTGGCATTCTATTAAAAAAAGACTTGTTCATTAAAAAGACATGCTGGAGCGTGCAGAGATATGATATGAAGTAAAGCATAACGTCCTAGTGTACTTCATGTATTTTGAGATAGTTCTGGGAAAAAAAATATTTGAAAACAGTTGTCTGAACTTAACATGAAATCACGCTCTGCCAAGTTCACTCATGATGATAGCGGCTTACCACCTGACGCCTGCCTGTGAACGCCTGTAAGAAAAAAGGGCAGCCTACCAGTGTGCATATAAAAGGACCTGTTGTTGCAACGATTACATCACCCCTGATGAAGGCACTAGACAGGAGTGTCGAAACGCTGGGTCTATGAATTGTAACTTCTCGGTTACATTCATATAACCAGAGTAGCATGAAACCATGTCTGATTGTTCAACTGGTTGTTTTGTAAATTTTAATATATCTTTTTTACATTTCTTGACAGATGTTGCGCCCGAATTTTTAAAGTTAGTAAATTACTCATAAATTGGTTTAACAAAGAATGTAGGTATGTGTGTATACTCATTAACTACCAAAGGGGTTTACAAACCCAGTTCGAACAAACTGGAAACAAACATTATAAATAAAAAAATTATTCTAAAAATCCGAACTGGCTAGAGGCAGGCCATTTGGCTAGATACTACTGAAGTGCAGCCATGAAGTTGAACTTGGCGCAGCCGAGCGAGAACAAATCCAGTGAGTAGTAAGGTGGAGGGCTTGAACCTGGGACCAAGAGTTTACAAGCATAGCGCCCTACCCACTCAGCCTCCCGGTAATAGGTACCAAGAGTGCCTCACTACCAACGACCTTGCAGAATCCTTAATTAATATAGTTGGTGGATAAACTGCCTTATTTTTCATGAATGATTATAAAAAGTTGTAAACGGATGGAAACCTCCTCTTGGACAGTTATACATCAACCAATCACAATTAGTATACTCAAATAATTATCTTCGTCACAAAATGTATTACTATAATGGCTACCAATGGCTATGCAATGGCTACCATTCCGAGCGGGGGATTTCCAAAGTTATAAAGGTAGTTCTTTCTGGGAATTTTCAGAGTGTATTTGGCGAAGGTTGAAATGGTTAAGTGTTTATAGATCGCAATAATGAGCTTTTCATTCAATGAATACATTTTGTCTTTTTCTGAAATTGCAATGGTTATAATAAATTTGTAACAGGATTTTGTCTCATCCAGTGTAGTCAGTAAATATGCTTTTCATTAACATACGGACTTCCACTTCTCTGTCGTTCGATTCGGTAAATCGATCGTGTGATAACAGACCGATTTGGACATCACATAGTACTATTAACATTTAGTAATCATCACGCGAGAGGTACTATTTTACAGTCAGTCACTACCATGATGTATTAATACTCCTTTCAAACTAAAGCTTTAACATGTTTTAAAGCTATTTTGTCAAACACCGTTTTAAATTTTTATTTTCAAAGAAGCCACTTAAGCCAATGTCTGTTGACTTCAAATTTAGAACACTGAAAATACAAAACTAGTGACTTCTTAATTCCACAAAAAAATTCATTTTTCACGATTTGTTTCTTTTCCTGATGTTGTTTTGCTGGTGTGAATGGGGTTCAAGTGAAAGAAGATTTAAGACGTCCTTTAAAACCGCAACATCGTTGTAAGGCAAAAGTGCAAACTCCTTTCACTGAACCAATACATAACCCATGGCTTTGATGTATTTGTCTCCATTATCTGGCTCGTATTTAGCCGCGTTTCCACAGGTTTTGTTTTATCAACAACTCCTTCTGTACCAAACCCGAGCCTGGAATCACACGAAATGCAGTCATCTTCGTTATTGGTCACAATTCCAATCCTTGCGGATGCGATTTTACCAGCACATCCTGAGTTAACCCCTTCCTCGTTACATTTGAGCTGTAAAGAAGTATTATTACCAAGTAACTTCTTCCACGTGTCCCTCCCCAGTGATGTGTTGCGATATTTCCCATCAGTGATCAGTGAGTACAGAGAGTCAGCCTGCTTGTTGATGACAATGAACTTGAGTTGTTGATCAATCTTCATACCGAGACAGATATTGGAGAAGGATGTGTTCCAGTAAGTGGACAGAATGATTGTGTTCGTTTTTATCAGTCCAGTACGATTTGCGAAAGTGAAAGGTGACCTGTCAAAAAGAATAGGAATTCATTCGTTCGTGTTTTCCACACTGATCTGCGACAGAGTTGTAGAGACGAGTCTGATTCCCGATACACTGATTGGTTTTATACCAAGAGATACAATCTGACATTTTGGCAGCCGCGAGATTCCGCTGAAGCTGTCGAAACGCTGGTCACTGTCACTGTCAATGATCGCTCATACGCATACCACTTTGTATAAAAAGCATATACATGTTTCGACAAAAGGCAGCGTGATTGAAAGAGATTCATGAGAAAGCAAGGTTACTACCTCTCAGTACGAAAGGTTTTGTTGAACTATTAGCATTACTTTACTTTCGGTTTAACTCATTCGGTGCAGGTATCTCATTATTAATGTTCTGATGGACGCACTCCGACATACTGGAAGTATTGATCTGGCAATTGCATTGGAAGGAAAAAAAACTCAAACCTTGCTGCCGTCAATCTTCATCACAGGCGTCCATCCTCCATCTCCACATCCAAAATCTCCCATCTGACAAAGAATGGAGACTGGTTTCTCGCTGATGATCAGAGGGACCAACTTACTCACGTTAAGCCTGTAACGGACAGGGTTTTAAATTTAATAATAATTGTAATGCTATTACAAATATTAATATCAAAAATTAACTGTGAAAGTTATAGTAATCAGGATAAAAATAATAAAATAATGACGATAACGGGTATACTAATAGCAATAATGATGATAATGATGATGACACCAATAATTATAAAGACGATTATTAAAGGAACAATGGTGATGCGGGCGTTGTTTTTATTGTCTCACTCTTTTTTGGTTCTGTAATGATCACGAAAACTCACGCGACTTGCTTGTGAACGTCATAAATATCTTTACATGCCTTCAATGCTGTAAGGAAAAAAAAATGTATGAGTTAGCAGATTAATACTGGCTAATAAAAGAACAGATCATCACTATCACATTTAAACGAAGATAAATTTCTCAGTTCCTCATGTGGCAAGTGTTTTTTCACCTAAAGTGTTAGAGTGAATAAGTGCGCTGTTATCATCACCCATTTCTTACTACTTTGCTTAACAGTGTTACCTTTTTCGCAATACTCTCCAGTGAAACCGCTCTCGCAGATGCATTCAAATGTATTGTCTCTGTGGTTTGCCTCACACGCGCCTCCATTGTGGCAAGGATATGATGAACAAGGTGACTGAAACGATATAAAGATGAAATTATTAATATACAAAGTAGCGACTGAGGCAAGATTTCTAGAGCTTTAAGAAAAGATGAATTAGTGAAGCTGTGCCGGTGTGGGGTAGTAGAATTCTTCTTTGACGAAAATTCTTCCATCGCCGAACTCATTCTACTAAATGGAATTAATAATATCTATGATGATAAAAATAAGAGAACTATACAAGTAGAAAGAGTATGTCCACGAAGTAGAATGTATAATATCATAAGTGACAAATTACTCCTTAATTTTGGGGCGAAATTTCAGCGTTAATTTTAATTTCACAAGTGAGATTTCAAAATCGCTATGGTAACATCTCTTGTATCTCGATCAGAGCCAAGATGGCGTCGAGATTTAAGACGGTGACCCTTAAAGAAGTTACGAAATTAAAAGAAGCGGCCGAAAATTATTAACAGGCAGGAAGAATTCGAAAGGCATTTTTTGTGAAGAAACTCAGAAAATTAGAAACTTTAACAATAATCTATGCTTTAAACGAAAACTATATTCTTCCTTGTTCTCGGTTTTCGATAGAATAAACCAGTAAAAACAATTGCGGTTGTGAACGATATTAAAAGGTAATCAAATGGTTTTCTCGTGAAATTAGGAAATAATTTCATTTGCGTAATTTAACTCGTCTAAAGGCTCGGGAAATTATTAGAATTTTGAAAAAATGCAAGTGAAATTATTTCCTAATTTCACTCGTTGCCATTTGATAAAACATACTAATCATACTCACGTCTAGATTAAAGTGGTGCGAACTCTGGTTCCTCCTGTATCCCTTTGGATTTCTGTATCCATCGGAAGACAAGAACTCACACCAAAATGTACCGTCTGCTCTTTCGGAGGTGGCCAGATTCACAGAAGAACCGAGAGAGGATTGTGGAGGCATCCAAAAGTGCAGTCGAACACATCATGTACTGCAAGTGTTCCAATAGAAGGCGCATGTAAATAATAGAACTTTTCTATGAGGAAGACTTTCTGTAGAACCATTAGAGGAAGTGTTCGAAAGGTTTGTCCTTCAGGTGGTTTACATAATCCTGTAGTCAGGTAATGATTTAAAAGAAAAGAATGCTCTGTTAACATCCCTCGTTACAGTGTAAGGCCACAGGCTTATAATCATTTTTTTTTAAAGAGTAAACTTGTCAATCATGATAATTTTGTTTTTCTTATAACCAAAGAGATCTGTTTTCTTGTGTATTTTCTTAGTACAATACAAATTTTAATTTCATGAATTCTCTTTGTTTGTATCTTTTTCCTTTCTCATTTCCTTTTGATCAAGTTTACAATGTGGTTAATTTGTAGAAATTGAAGTGATGGCA